GTTTTATTTGATTTTAAATCTCGTCCTATGATGAAACCACGGCACAGTTCGATGTTTCCAGTCTTACATGATACAAATATGTTCCAATGCATTCGTCAGTGAGATCCACACTAACGGATGTCAATTTCCTCTACTACACGGTGATTCATCCGAACAACACACACATGCACACACACGGAAACACAAACACAGGCCTTCTTGTGTAAGCAGCCTGTGTACACTTTGTCCGTCTCTCTCTCTCTCCCTCACCTCTTGCTCCAGAGGGCAGTTTCTGGAGAAGACTGACAGCAGTACTCATCACAGTTCAAGGCAGAGTCTGAGAAAACACATCATGAATAATGAAAGGGACGTGAGGATGGGTTGCAGGAATCAGTAGTTGGACAGTGTTGTCCACTACTGCCTGTGTGCCCTTCAACAAAGCACCGTAGTCAAGGTCGTTCCTCAGTTGAGGATTCAGCAAAGCTGTATTTTTTTGCACAATTTTTTGCAGCCAAGGTTCGATCAAGGTCGGATCACATTCTTTCTTAAGGGGGGAGAAATATTCCAGGTAAAAAATAAATAAAGATAGTCCTTTCATTTATAAAATCACTTCATTCATTCTGAAGTGGACTGACCTGAAATCCTCATAAAAAATCTTCGAGTGATCTCAAAATAGATGTTTGATTAACATTTAATGAGCTAGAAAGCTCTGAAGCCCTTTGAAAGTGACTCCTGCTGTATTAAGGGCTCAAACCTACAGTATGTATTTTATATCCGTTAATGTGCAGATGAAAGCACGGATGTGCTGAAGGTTTACAGCTGCACAAAATACTGGGCACTAAGCGTGGATACAGTGGACGGTAATCACTGTCATAAGAATACCTGGGTGATTTTCTGTGAATAAAAAGACACAGCTGCTTTGAAAATTTAATACCAATCTCCTTTTGAAACTATTACTACACTCTACCTGATGCTGTTTGTCTGTCATACGAAAATAAAACCAAATATATTTGGCCATGTCCACCGAGACTTGCTGTAACTGGAATGTGAAAAGCTTGCTGCCCGTGGCTCATGCTGAGCAGTGCAGTGATGCTGAGCACAGTGGGCTCTGGGTGAGTCTTAATCGAACACCAGCTCTCTCGGTACCATCTGTCAGACCAGTGCCGTCCACACTATAAGTTTATAGGTTTGAAAGTGTGTGAAATCTTCCCTGTCTGTGGATGTGTTTAAGTATTAAGTCTTGGACAGTTTTTAATCTGTTCACCAGAGTCTTGAAACATGTTGCAATCCGCTTCTGCAAGAGTCTGAAACCTTCCTCTCAGCGATTGACATGGAAAAAACAGCCCCAAAAATAAAGTATTATACAACTATTGTGTTTCTAGGGAGACATAATATTTATGTGGTTCCTCAGGTTGTGTACTGTTACAGGAGTGGATTTCTGCTCATTTATTCCAAGATAAGAAACAAGAGCTCTTACACCAATGCCAACGATCAGTTGTCGAGCAAATGAAAAAACCTGACGTTAGAACGGGGCTCAGTGTAAATGGGTTTCCACTCACTCTCCTTGAACTATCAGTCTATAGTTGAACCATAGATGAGAATCAAACGTTCAACAGAACTTCACATTTTATAATATAGACCAAGACATGGACATTGAAGTGGCTTCATTATGGGCAACACAATAACAGAGTTAAAGGGTCAAAATGGTTCAGAGGACGGCTGTCAGCTTCTGCTTTGCTGCAAACTGATTTCATTTCCTTCTCTTTGGTTTTTGATTCACTCAGCACATTTTCACAAAACAGCAAAATGAGCAGCTCACAGTGCTCACTGACTTGACCGACATCTTTTCATGTGTAACCATTTTTATTTTCTACAAATTTGATATTAATATAAAAATAAATTGCAGATTCATACAAATACTTTTTTTAAATCTGCAAATTCATTTTTTAAAACAGGAATGTACTCTAGTTTTGTTTGTTGGGGGTTTAACATCAAATGGCTAACTTCACTGATCAACTAAATGAGACAATTTTGAGATAACTAACATAAATGGGTGATTAATGCATTAATGTGATTATAAAAAAACTGTGGGGTTAAAATTAAATAGTAGATGGCAATATTATATTTTTACAGAATAGCAGTGCATCTGTATGCCATGTCTAGATAAAAAAGACCAATACAGCGGAGTATCTGTGGCACAGATCTGGTCCATATCTGGCATGTGTGACAGTTCCTTTGGCCAACATATGGTCAGCGAAGATAACACTCGTGTGGCTAATATGTGTTTGCCAGATGTTGGCCACAAAACTGGCCGCAGCACTGCCACGTCAGCCAAAATAAGTCTTCTCAACATGGGCCATTCTGATGACTTCCTGTCAAATTAAACTGTAATATTTCACTTGGATTCTTGTGGTCTAGAGTTTTGGGCCTTATTGAAATAAGAGCACTTACTTGAGCACACACACAAAAAATGATTTTAAAACAAAGCAGAATACAGTCATTAACACTAGTCCCAGCAATATTTCAAATCGTTCTGTGACTATGCCCCAAATCTTTGGTTCTCACATGTAGTACTTGTCTATGTTAACAGTCATTGTTTGTTAAACCATTAGGCATCCATTTGAGTTCTACAAATCAGACAGCACATGGCCAAAGTCCATCTGAAATGCCCATCTTTTTATGACCCACATCCTTTTCATTCTGAGTCAGAAGATCATTGGTCCACATTCATACCCACTCTAGCCTGTAGAACTCGTCACTGTTACACTGA